AATGAATCATTAATATAACTTGGTTAAAAACTATTTGTACATTTGAAATTATAATAGAGTTTTTATTCTTTTTAATGTTTATTTATCAATATCCAAATATGATTGGTTGAACACAGTATAATCCTGATTGTTAAAAAGCTATACATTTTTTTGATAATTTTGATTATGATTATTACCCTGAAGAAGTCCAGACAAGTTAGATGGACGAAACGTTGGTGTTGTGGATGCGAAGGATAGACCAATAATTATCATGTTAAGTCCAATGGTGTCCTTGGACTTTAAATGGACATTTCCTATTGGTCGATATCTGTCCACTTGTTGAATATTGTACAAAATGTTGTTTTCTATTTTTATGGTACGATGTGGTATGTTTGGTTAGTATATAAATAGAGTATGTCTGAAATACAATGATTCATAACTCAGAAGCTGAGGTTTGTGTTCTGGACTCAACTGGCTGGGATAGACAGGGAATCGGGACTAATCGTAACTCTAGGTCGTCCATTACGTTCGTACGTGTTTACGTGTCATTGAATCGGTCGATAAATACGCTCTTCTCTAGTTTTTTCAGTCAAGGACACAACAGTTAGCACAGGGTGAAAATCGACCCAACTTAAAGTCACAACAGTTGGAATTAGTTATATTTCAATCGCTGAAAATATTTCAAATATAATTTTCACATATAATGTTTATTTCTGTTACAAATAAAAGAGAATTCATGATATTAGTTTATATAAAAATCATTTTAAAAAAAATATTATCGTAGTTGTCACCTTAGTGATAAAATTAATTATCCAGTAAGTGATACATAAAAAAAATTATTATTTTCTCTCTCGAAAAACTAAATCAATAATCAAATATGATCAATAAGTTGATTAGTTGTTTGTTCTTTTTTGTTTTGTTTTATTTTTCCTGAAATTCTTTAAACGCTTCCCCATTTACTGTAAGTACTGAATATAAACTCCAGTGATTTAATTATATTTCTCATCTAAGATAGTAAATTTATGAATTATGTCACCTATAATTTATGTTAACTACACATAGTTTTAATAGGATATTTACAATCTTATTGTAATTTATGATTTCTTTTTTCTTTTATTAGTTATCAATCAAATTTCGAACAGTATTTGTTTTTGTTTCATTGTACAATAGCAAGTAACTATTTGCGATCGTAGTCAGAACAAGTTACAATGCCAATAGTTTTATAGATCTTCTATAATATTTCAAAGTATTTGAATTATCATATGAACTAGGAAACACAGAATTAAGGCAATTGAATCAAGAATTACGACACAAGCACAAACGAATATATTGTATTTAGAATTCGAAATCAAGCATTCAACAAGTATAAAAGAATCATTAGTTAGTTCAAACACCACATCCGCCACAGCTTAAATTGAAATATAATTGTCTATAATAGGTTGTACATCTTCTTCTTAAGTTCATCCTGTGTCTGTCTGACATTGTATTGAATAAGATCTCGGTATTATCTAGAATGTGCTCATTAGTATTAGAATTAACAACTGAATTTTTATACAACCAGCATGTCGGTTTTGTATTGAAATCATTGATATCTAGAATTCGAACCATATATTTTTCAACATTATGCTCCTTCATGAAATAATGTTGGATCTTTATATCCCCAAGTTATGAATGATGTGGCTTTATTTAAAACATATTTCTCACATTGATTAGAGTAAACATTAGAAGTGACTTTGCGATAAGGATAAACAGCAGTTGATATGAAATCATCCGAACTGTAATCAGAATGGAGTTCATTTAGTACTCGTGCTTCGCATTGAACAAGTTTCCCACAAGAAACAAATGCATTATGAGGACTAATAATATTTGATAGAACATCACGATTTGATTCTTCTGAAATGGTTTCCTCGAATTTATTAAGAATGACATTGTAGAGCAAAGGATCATTAAAAAAATTAGCATCTATCAAAACTACATCAGGCTTTCGATCATAATTATGTTCACTCAACATATTTTCTTCAGATTTGCAAGGAATTTCATTAGAAATATGTGAATTATTAGGAAAAGCCATATTTGGTACAAAAACATGGGAAATCTGATAAATTGATTGATTAGAAATAGTTGTCTCGCAATAATTCTGAGTTTCATTTAACTCTGAACTTCTATGTGACTCTACACTGTCTATTGCAGTCGTTAATAAAGATAAATCATCATTATAAATACTCGACTTAGTAGAATCAGAATTACAAGACTTAACATTAGTTGCAATAAGATGAACACTAGTATTACAGACTGACTGAATATGTCCAATATCACCACATTTAAAGCACTTAGAATTACGAAATTTACAGAAATTAAAAGAGTGGAACTTGCCACAGGACAAACACTGACCAAACTTGTGCCTATCTTCGTGAACTGTGTCCAAACTCCTCAATAAATTATCTGCATAACCTTGAATATGCACTGTGTTGGGATGACGTAGTATTGTAGTGGAATTTTTTAATATCTTCATGAATCACTTTACAAAATCTTCATTTATTGCGTTCGAAATTTGTATACTTAACATAGTCTAGCAGCAGTTCCTTGAGAGTTGTGTAAGGAAGCGAGATAGGCTTTTCCGGCATAGCCAGAGTTTCTAATAAGCTGTATGCTTTTTTTCTGATGAATGTGAGGTAATAAGCCACAATTTTAACATCCTCAGCATCTTCCTTGGTCATAGCCCAGATTTCGAACCTTTCAAAATAATCTTCAAATGCATCAAAATCTGAATGCATAACCAACGATTCCACCACAGGATCCTGCTCCTGACGCCAATTTGGTATTTCGAATTATTTGAATTGTAGTATGAACTAAGGATCCCCGAAATAGCGCAAGTGAATCATGAATTACGACACAAGCTCAAACTTACGTATTGTATTTAGAATTTGAAATCGAGCAATCAACAAGTACAAATGAATCATTAGTTAGTTCAAACACCACATCTTCACAGTTAGATTAAAAGAAAAATACTGTTCTAAAAATATTTAGTTTTCATTGGTGTTTTGAAGCAGGTCTTCATCGAGGTCTATGTTGATGATATTTATGTATACTTATTCAATGTTTCATTTATCAAAATAATTAAATAGCTTCAAAGTTATTTTATGTACGGTAATAGTTTACATTATTTATTAAACAGATATCTAAGTAATACACACTACACGGTTATAAGTAATTAGAATACACCCCTAAACCCTAGTTTTATACTCGTTAGAACATACTACTAATGTAGGCTATTTACATGTCCAATCATGCGTTATCTTCTAAAAAAAGTTCAAACACACTAGTCATTTAGACTTGTAACCATATGGTAACATAATCAATAAAGTCTGATTATTGAAAAAGTATTAGAAAAACAAGATTGTAGGTACTTACTGTTAAATAAATAATCAGATAAAGAAAATCTGTATACTGGCATAGTTATTTATATCATTATAATTATCAGTTTGACTAGTTATTCCATTCGGAATTTACTTTAACCCTTTTTTGTCTATAAATGAGCTCTATGAATTGAGTAATTTGATATGCAGTAGTGTTTGCATTAACAAGTTAACTTTATTTTCGTATCATAGTTCCATATAGATAAATTTCCATTGAAACAAATTCTAGCTACTGTGACCCAATAGGTTACTGGATATCGCCTAAATATTTTAAGCTTTCAGTTTCAGTATGATTACCGATTATTGTTATACAGACACATTCACTTGACAAATTTTAGGTAGGATGAATTATGCGTTATGCATAACATTTTTAATCACTATCCATATTACATAACAACACTAAATAGGTTTCATTCAAATATAAATCAAAATACAACAAAAAATACATCCTACCTTGAGGATACACTATCAAAAGTAAATATTAGTTGAATAATTTCATCAAAGCAATCTATCAATTAATTAGTAAACAATTTTTTAACACTTGACTTCACGAATCTATCTTCACAACTATCTCTTAATTAATAGTAGCTTGTATGTATACAAACAACACTGAAACAGTAGAAACATACTAAAAATGACTAATTGATATTTTTCCAGAAACTGTTTAACTAACTTATATTGTTTATAGCTTCAGACAGTAATGACATTGTATACTATAAAGGATTATTTATTTCAATAGTTGGAATCATGAGTCAATCGAAGTTAGACGACCATGGAAAACCTGGGAGCACTCCAAAGCCGTTTCGTCCTAGTATAGGACTCCTCAGCAGCGCGCATACACGATCCCACGCCCAAGCAAGGTTTTGAACCCAGGACCTATTGATCTCGCACGCGAACGCTTAAGCTATAGACCACTGGGCTGGTTGGCACCCAACGGTGTTAATGTTTAACTTCAACCAACTTATTTTCAGCATATAGGTTAAAGCTTGTTAACTACACTGTAACTAAGTGTTTTTTTCTGGTTTAAATATGTTGATTTGTATAGAAAGAATTTAAGTGCGAAAACCCTTCTAACACTATTAATAATTCCTCAATAAGTGATATAATTGAAATGTTTGTTTAATTAAATAATTTTTTACTTTCAACAGATATACTACTTATAATATTATCATCAACATTACTGAGATTATTTATTGTAATACAAACTAAAATCAAAGAATAAATTAATAATAATAAAGAATAAAATGAACAAATGAACAAAGTTCCTTTTTTATTATCTACATTTAATTTAAGCTGAATAATCTTTGCTTTACTATATCATTTCTTATTTATAACAAGTAATAGATATTAAAGAAGATTATGAAAAGGAATACAAGACAAAAGGCAACTTGCGAAGAACGAAGGTTCCATGTAAAATGATTCAAGATTCCTCTTTTCACTTATATATTCATACATAGACAATTAATGAAATATTAGTGATGATAATATGACTAGTAATAATAACCGAATATATATAGATAAATAAACACTTGTACCCCCCAAAAAAATCAATCATTGAATATAGTTTATACAATTAATATTGTTTTTTTTTTGTTTTTCCTTTTTGGAATAATCCCTTAGCAACAAGAAATTTCAAACTAGAATCAGTTATGTTTCAGAAAATTTAAACATTGACAATAACATTTTGAGAAAAAAAGTCATTTAAACAAATAGATTGACAAAGAGTTCAGTTCATTGTTTTTTTTTGTATTTTTCAATAACGGTTATTATATTTATTTTGCTATTTGTTTATCAGGATGAAATTTTTGTAAATTTAAAATTAATTGAACACCTTCAAGACAATCTTCAACTTCAAATGTTGGTAAAACAAGATCAGCTGCACCTTGAAAATCACGATGACAATAATGTACTCTTGTTCTATCTGTTGGTTTGTATACACCAGTTCTAACTAATACAGCTTATTAAAGTAGGGAAAATAAAACAAGTTAAACAAAAGTTAAGTAGGTAAAAGTCTAATTAAATGTTCGATTTTTTAACATGTTAAGTGTTTTTTTTTAATTTTGAGTCCATTTTTTCAGTGATCTGAATTGAAAAACCTATGCTAAAAGTTGGAAACGAATTATTATCATTCTTCATCTTTCTACTGCCCCCGAATGCCCTGGTATGACCGAGTTTGAAGAAAGTCAGCTTTCTCTCTCACAAGGCCACGCGTATACAACCACTGACAGAAACGTTCTACTCCCTGACTTTTCGCAGCAGGGGTGTTGTTTACGAAGTCGAGTGAACGAAAAGAGAAAGTCCGGTGCTTTAACCGTGTTGATGGGAACACAGGGTCTACCAGGAAGACCCTGATTTCAAACCTGTGGTGTACATGGGCTTTAGAATCCCGAGGGAACAAATGGGGTATGAACCAATCGTTGGTCACCGGCTACCATGAGACTACATCTCTTGACGTTGAACTACTGCCTTGTGGATCAGACCTTTAGGTCGAAGGCCCCAGGTGTGGCCCCATTAAGTAAACCACCTGCTTCTATTCGGGCACCCAGGCAGTATCACAGCTTACACATAAACCAAGTGACTTGTGCAGTGCATATGTATTTGGTGCCCCTTTGTACCAATATTTATGTGATCATATAAATAAATAAATAACTGTACCACTATTATGACCAATAAATTGACAAAGTTATCATACGAAGCGTTCGTAAAAAACTAGGATTACATTTGATTTAAAACTTGTTATTCTCTTCTTAAAATGTACTTTGAATATGGTCTAAGAACTTGTTCAACAATCATGGAGACTGTAGCAATTTCGCTACAAAACAAAATACCTAATATTTTTAAATAACTCAATGAGTTTAATGAGTTAACTCTATTTGATTTTTAAAATAAATCATCATTACTTTGTCAAAACACAACTTACAATCAATTCCTTTAGCAGTTTGAGGAAGAAACGCTGCATCCGGTGGTACAGTACGTGATTGTGCTACCGACACTTTTTTATATTGACTATGTCCTTCCGTTGGAGATTTATCACCACCGGAGACATGACGAAATCGACGTAAAAAATTATTGTACAGATTCGATCCCAAAACATCAACATCTGGATTATCACTGAATGGAATAAAATAAATTAAAAAAAGAAATCCCATATGAAAAAGAAGTACTGAATTATATATATTAAATTATTAACTACAAACTTACAAATTAACACGAATATAGGCATACAAAGAGAAACGTTTTGGACTCCATGTACTAATACCTATGTAGATTTATGAGGATATGACTAAACTTCATTGATTTGTTTCTACAAAAAAACCGACTGTGTAACCCACCAAGATCGCCTGTGTTAGCAGTGAAATAGATATCACCAACATCACTGAATAGCCTTCTAATAATATGACGAACTGACTACAGTTTAAATTAAAAATTATTGGATTTAAAATCGATGGTCTACCGGCATTATTGCCTTTAATATAAGACTAGATTGTTCCATTTCTATCCTATGTAAAGTTTATGATTCTTAATTCTTTAAAGTTTTAAAATAGAACAATTGATACCAATTTTTAATCAACACTAACTTTTAAGTTTTTAAACTATGTAACAAATTGAAGGTTACCTAGAACAGAAGTACATTCTTTCCAAATAAAAATAAATTCCAAACTCTTTCCCTTTACTATAAAACTTTATAAAAATAATCTAAATCAATCAATAAACATAAAACTATCTTCATGGTCTATACATTTGGATTGTTAAATGTATACTGTATAGATCAAATTAAAGATAATAAAAACAGGGTTTTAAGTAGTTTAAACAAGCTGATCGAATAATTTACAAACTTCTACATTCGCCTAAGATATTCATATTGTATGGGTTCGTTGAAACAACAACAAACCTATTACATAATCAATACAAAGACTCTAAGTATTACCTTACTAATGTAGTGAAGGTGAACACAGGTGAGGACAACCAAATTGTGTCCAAGTTAACACTACAGAGTTACTTGGTAAAATAGAAAAACCATACTACAATACTCAATTTGCAAAATATCCAATAATTGTCTCGGACTTCATTGTTCTTGCATTCCCATACTAATTGCTTCCTATTCCCGCTCTTTCTTTCTTGATCTTCCCCATCTTCTGCTGCCAGACTTAACATTCCTAATTCGCGTTATATACTACTTATATCAATATAAGTAGCACGCACCATACTAACACTAATTAACCTTATTAACATTTAGAAATACAATTTACAATTCATTGTAACATTTGAAAAACAAAAAATGTTTATTTTTAACTCTATATTGATTGATTATTGCATCATCCTTCCTCCCCCGAAAAAAATTTTTCTACATCACTTATTGATTTTTTTGAACAGTTAAAAAAAATTATTTTTTAATTTTTCATTTATTATTCTCGGTGGATATTTTTTCTTAATTTCAGTGAAGAAAAAAGAAAAAGAAAAGAAAGTTGGTCTATCGTAGTTATAATTAAGTTTAATTGCACAATCTAATTAAAATTTATTATTGTAATTACTGGACTTTATTATGTAACATATGTAACATAGCCGCGGCTGACCTCCTGTGATTACATCTCAGTCCTACAGGAGGTCAGTCGCGGCTCGCATCGCTCAGTAGTAACGTCTCTGACTATGAAGCTGGGTGACACGAGATCGAATCCGCCAGGGAGCATCAGTTCTCTCAAGATTACAGGTACACTTTGCTGTCGAGTGCCAATTAACACGAAACCCGGGTCCAGGGTTTCTTGTCAACTACCTCCAACCACCATCTACTCAAAAGTGGTTTCTATCAAAAAACAGCGAGAGAGAGAGAGAGTTGTTAACGTTTCATTCTCACTCCTAAATCTACGAATACCTAAACAGGCATCTTTAAATATTGTATCGAGTAGAAAAAAGAAACAGTGATACAATGAGTTGTACTTAATGGTTTACATTTTTTTCTTTAGTCAAATGATAATAAAGTGAGATCTGTATCAACTGTCTACGGTTATGATATGATTTAAATGAGTTATTTGATCTACACATTAAAATGTTACAAAGTTAGTTGCTAATTATTAGAGTTGAATGGAGTAAACGCAACATGATCGTTTTTTTCTTATAACATGAACTAAATCTAAATGAGAATTTATGTTGAATTGACGAGACAAATGTCTATCCTATGACCTGAAGATTCTGAATTTCATCTCTGACTATGAAGCTAGGTGACACGTGATCGAATCCATCGGGGAGCATCAGTTCTCTCAAGATTACAGGTACACTTTCCTGACAAGTGTCAAGTAGCATAAATCCTGGGTTCATGGTTTCCTGTTGACTACTTTCAACCATCATCTAATGTCAACATAGTGCACGCAATGTCGAGTCACCTAGACTAGTGGCTACATTGAAACTTGGTCGATAGCATTTGATCTGCACTAATGAGTATTCGGCACACATGACATTGATTACCACCCAGTGATCAATCAATTGTGATTAGATTTTATATATATATATATATATATATATATATATATATATATATATATATATATATATATATATATATATATATATACTTACATTACTGATTATCAGAATGGGGTTTGTGGAGATTGTAGTAATTTAGTAGTTAATTAATGAGTCGATTAAAGCAAGGCAATTATAGAAAACATGGAAGCACTAGATGACCGTTTCATCCTAATATGGAACTCCTCAGCAGTACGTATCTACGATCCCATACTAGGATGAAACAGCCATCCAGTGCTTCCAAGTTTTCCATAATGGTCTAGCTTTAATAAATTCATGAATTCAACTACTCAACTTATGATACAACATTTACAATTTTACTGACTAACTAATCAAATTAAATAGACATTAAATATATTTAAGTATCATAGTATAAAATAATCTGTTGGAAAAAGGAACTATCAAGGTAGATTTAAAATCAACTTGAACAATGCATACTTAATAGACTCTGAAGATCAAATCTATTGTTGTTTAAAAAAGCGCTCAAAAGTTTATTGATTAGTTAATGTTATAAATATAAGTTCGGCTTTATATGACCAATAATATAACAATTTTGGGTACGAATTCCTCAGTCTATCAATATAAATCTAATTGTATTTCAGTATTAGACATTGAATATAAAATTTCTTCATTTACTTAGGATGCCAGTAACAAGAATTGGCTAATCTTAAAATATTAAACATAAAGTAAATGCATAATATCGTTGAATTAAACTATGCTACTGAATGAAATTAACTACACTGATTTTTTCATATAAAAGAATAGTCTTAAATTGGTTTAAGCTGATATACTCCTTCTAGTCATTATTAACTGATATAAATGTTTGTCTTTATTTAAACTGTGTGTTCTTAAACTGTTTGTTTAATAACAAGATGAAAGAATCTGAATTCCAGTCAATGATTTGACAACATACAAGATATTCATATTTGTTTTCATTATGGTTAATGTATAACAATAATGTTATTTACATTTTGTCTGGTATGAATACTTGAATTTAAAATAGCTAACAGATTGTACGTCTTAAACACAAGTAATCATGTAAGTTTTAAAAAGTCTTTTAAGGGAATGTGATTAATTTTTAGATAATCCCAAACTATTATTTTTCAACTAATTGTGATTTCATTTTCCACAATCTTAGTGAATTACGGTGGTGTTTTAGTGGTCCAAGATCTGACTCCAGTTAGATCGCATGATTGATTGGTATTGAAATATACATATCGTCGTATAAAATTGTCAACTTAAATCGCGTTAGTTAATAACAGAATCAAATACGTGAATGAATATCGAAGTCATATATTTCATACAATCGTACATATTTCAACAAGAGACTTATCAATTGCAGTACTAAATATCAATAGGAAGATTCAAGTTAACGACACCAAGTGAATATAAAACTTCACCCCATTCCACAAGCAAGTAGATATCAGGACTCAATAGCTAAGTGGATAACGAGATGACATTTAAAGTGAACGTTACTGCGTTCGAGTATCAGAGTGGGCATCAACTCTGAGATACAGGTACATTCAGATGACGAGTCACAAATAGGACGAAATGCATGTACTGGATTCCACTGCTAACCATTATACAACTTTGCTTATATATAAAGTCTTCAAAAAAGCAACTTATTAACATGTTATTCTATGGCAACTGCTTTCCAATCGATAATTTCTACTGAAATCTTCCTCATTTCCACAGTTATATAAACAAACTTATTAGAAAAACTACCGTTTATTTATTTATTGTTTTTCACTAGCCCAATATTGAATGAGTATCGGATATACAAATATGAGTTGTTAATGAATTTTATTGTTTTATTTATTTATTTTTTATACTGATTTCATAGGGGAAAAAAAGAAGGGGGCTAATTTTTAAATAAATCATAAGTTTAAAAATTCTACGAACGTTTTGTCAACTTTTATTATAAAAATTAACTTGGATACCTTATGAAGTTTATGAAAACAAAAAAACGAAGATATATATCCTGGAATTCTAGTGAGAAGCAGTGACCAGTGGAGTTCAACCGGGTCAGTTGTGAGGTAGTAACTCACTGATTACAATGGTGGATGTGTCGCTTAATTTCGTGGATTCGTTGAAGCTAGACGTAACACCGTTAGATGCCGGCTCAGTGGTCTAGATGATTAAACGCCTAGTGCGAGACTGATAGGTCCGGGGTTCGAATCCTGCGAGGCGCGATCGTGGGTGCGCACCGCTGAGGAGTCCCACAATAAGACGAAACAGCTGTGGAGTGCTTCCAGGTTTCTCATGGTGGTCTAGCTTCGATTGACTCATGATCTCAACTGTTTAAATTTTATTATTATTACTATTATTATTATTATTATTATTTGAGATTATTTTATGCGTCAATAAATTTTGTATTCAAAGCTGGTTAATTATCCCCTTTTCTATTTGTTTATCTATCGATCAGTCTACTTGATATGCTTTCTTTGATTGTCTATCTATCTATTTATCCATGTATCTTTATCAACCAATCTATACTAACCATTAATATCCTCTTGATGAAGACTACTGGCATTTATATACATATAAACATTTGTAGTCATGACAAAAAAGGTGACAAACTCGAGATTTCTATG